CATACCTGCATTGTGCCTTTGTTCAGTGCGGCCCATTGGAACGCTCTGTAAGTAGAGGCAATTACGCCATTTTTATTTCTTTGTGGTTAGTAGGAACTTGTTGAGTGTTAGCATTGGAAGATTTCTGTTCAGACTTATAACCAGGATAGAGTGTAGGATAACCTACAGCGTGTAGACTTATGCTCATGCTATTTTAAAGGTTAACATACAACCGTTAAATAAATTATGTAATAGGATTAATAAATAGATACCAGTGACCAGGGTTTGTGCGTAACAAACAACTGCATATCGTTCTGGGTGCACATACTGCAATGCGCTTATAAAATAAGCTATTGATACAACAGTATACAACCAGCGAGTGTCCGTCAAATATGTGTAATAGGCTAACTTTCCTGCCGTGTGCTAAATTCTCACATAGGAAATAGTGCATGTGTGAGGATCATATTCCATATAATGATTCATTCTGCAATCTGCTGTTGTCTTAACAAGACACAGCGATGGACAGATACAAGTATCAAGCCAACGGTGGTCATACTTAATACCATTGTATTTACTGTCCCGCTATGTGTGCCTCTTACATAGACACCATACCTGGATGGCATACTATAATAACTTCAAGATCTTTAAAGTTTATGTTAGCCCTCACATCGCACTCTGGTTCTGTGTGTAGCATTAACACTGTGCACGTGTTTCAAATTAAACACTGCACGTGGTTTCTTTTATAGTTAAAACATTCGTAGTACAAGATAATTATCTTTGCCATGTGTATGAACCAATACTACTTACGTATCATTTATCATGCTTTCTAGTTAAGTATATGTTGTCGCCACGTGTAATTACGTGGTTATGTAATATGTTTATTGTTAGCTATGTTAGTCAGGACATTGTTGACCTGTATTATTTGTTTATTTTCAGATATTGTCCTTTTTCTTTCTCTTTTTCTTTCTCTTTTTCTTTCCCTTTTTCTTCATAGGCTTCTTCTCCATAGTTCATAGTGTCCTCTTTCTTGTTTTCATCATAGTAGAGAATTAATTAAAAAAAGCTATAGTCCTCAAGACCTGATTGTTTCATTTTGATTTTATTTTTAAAAAAAAACTGTAAACTAAACCACCACTCGGCTACAGTTGTTGGCGCTGCGAGCAGGGTCAATTTACACTACTACAGTGTTTTGGCGTTGTCACCTAAGTCAACCCTAAACCACCACACTACTACATATATATATATATATATATATATATGTATATATATTATATATATATATATATATATATATATATATATATATATATATATATTATATATATATATATATATATATATATATATATATATATATATAAATTTATTTATTTAGGCATTATTTTATAGTGCTTACCTTACAGCTCTAAGTGTTTTAAATTTATTAAAAATATGTAAACTATTCCAACTTCAAAAGTAAAATAAAAAGGAAAAAAACAGATACACTAGCATAGTCACTACAATGTGAAAAATGACTATAGAAGCAGTAGCTTAAACAATAAATTTTAAATATCTATATATGTTTATTTAAATATGAGGCAACATTAGCAATTATTAAAAATATTTTTTTTAAAATAAGAAATTGTGATGAGTTTTTGTAATAGCAGGTAGAAAGTATCGCTAAGTGCCAAAATGATCAATAAATTGATCGTGGGCCCTTAAGATATAGAAGAAGAATTCATGATATCGTCTTACTTTAAAAGAAGAAAGTATTTTCTGCTCGATATTATACACCTTCCCAACCCATTTAGAGCTCCTAATCTACAATTTTCCGCTCTAAACCTTACTTTAGGTTACACAATCTAAACGATGAATAAGTAAATCATTATTGTCACCAAAGGAGTTCATTGGTGGCTGTTTTCTACCCTAGCGAAATATTATAGATGCTATTTCTTTTAAAATTATTAAATGTTGAGACTACCCAACTACGTCTCGTGAACTAAAACTAATTTTTTTCACTCTGAAAATTGTTAAAACTTAATCTTAAGTTTGCAACAAAAACTCTATACACCATTTTAAATATATATATATATATATATATATATATATGTAAGAATGAGCTAGGTTGAAATAATGCCAAAAGGAGATAAGATTTAAGTACGTTCGGATTCTTAAAAACAATCATAGTTATTTTTTTTATTAATTTACGGAAATTAAAAAAAATATTGCGCAAAAATATTTTAAATCCGCTCTTATTTTAGTAAACCATTAAATATTATTATTATAAATTATAAATACATTTAAAGTATCAAATAAGGAACTATTTTGAGCATTGTATATGAGATAAAAGTTATAAAAAATATAAAAATTTTAAACAATCATGATCAATGAATACAAGTAATCATATTTATCAGGAAAACCTAGACATCAGTCGTTTTTGGTGCGTCTTTTAGTGCGTTGTTAATATTGCGAAGTGTAAAAAGATGTGTATTTTATTGAGATGAACAATTTAAATTAAAAAAAACCAACAAAGACTTCTACCATTATGACCCGATAACATCGGGTCATTTATTATAGTAATTAATATTTAAGAAATTTGATATAATGATATTTTAATATAAAATTTAACCAAACTGTTGCCTTTGTTTTCTACTATGCTATCGGATATACCTTAAAAAAAGAGAACTTTTTTATCCAAAGAAGAATTTTTTAACTGTTTTTCACATCCGTAACAGAGTTGAGTTTTTTTTTAAACACTATGATATATCACGTAGTCCAGAAATGTTCTGTGAGAAATAGTTAACATGCCATGCAACAGTGTTATGATGCAGACAGGTGTCTGCATCAGGAGGCCATGTGAGAGACGGGGAGGGGCATATAGGCCCTACATCGATAATAACAGAATATAATTCTATTTAAGGCTAGTATTTTTTCCTGATCCTTGAGGGTGTCCCCAAGTCTACCCAGCTCTGGCCTTAGATGGGGAAAAGTAAAGCTGGCTGGTTATTGCGCTGGCTATACACTCAAACTTGTAAACGCTGCTTCAATTGCCCCAAGGAAAGTTAATTAATGTTAAACTTTATGGGTGTACGTAAATTTAAGGATGATGCTTGCACTGCCTTGAACTAAATCGAACACATTTAAATATGATTCATTCAAAAAAAAAAGAGATTCTTAAATTGTAATGATTTTATAAGAAGTACCAAACCATATATCTTTCTTTTTTAGTTGATATGTATTTGTGATGCAAGGAAGATAGATTCTTTGTATTAAAAATGTAATAATTAATCGAGGGCTGTTGGTTTGAGCATTTAAAACATAATTGTCTAATTTAAATGTAGGGCTTGTTTAATAGGAAATATTTGGAAAATTTTTAAAACAAATAGTAAAAATAAATAGGACAAGTAGTACGCTTATGAAATTTATTTAAAGAAAAAATGCAACTATTAAACTAATAAAAAGTTTTAATATTTAGAAATATTTAATCATATATTAATTTTTAAAAAAAAATTATTTAAATTTAAATGAAACCACACACAATATATTTTTAATTATTAAATAGTGTGCATACATGTTAAATTTGAAATATTATAACTATAACAGATTGAGATATGCATCATATCTTAAATAGAATAAGAAACGTAGTGGAATGACAACATTTTTTGGCTATAAAATGTTAAATTTCAAAATATCTTTCCATAATAGGAACATAAAATATAGGCCTACTCTAGGGCTTTAAAAAAAGGCAAAAAATGTTTGTGGAATCAGTATGCATAACAAAACGTAAATCATGCTAGCATAACTAGTCAAATTGAATGTCACATTTATGTTTTGTGCTAAAAAATTAAGGCATGAAAAGTATTTGTATGGAGAAATAATAATCTTTACTCATGTTTTGCTTTAAAAATAAGGCAAAATATTATTTTCAAATAATAATAATGTTTAAAACCTAATTGTTAAATTTCAGGGATACAAATGTTAAAATATTTTTGTGGCTTTTCAGTACAAGGAATGTTAATATATATTTAAAATTTAAAAAAATATTCTTCAGAAAATATCTCTTTGCTTTCCCTGGAAATTTGTTACCAATAAGAAATTAATGATCATACATACAAAATGTTTAACATAAAAAATTTTCCCAATCACATATTAAGTTCAAATATATTAATTTTACATTCAAATAATCTAAAAGTCACAGGCATTAAAACTAATTGCTGGAAAGAAACACAATTCAAACTAGACCTTTACAGATCATGTTACGTAATGTTCAATGCAACATTTAATCATTTGATCCAATATGTGCACCAAATATATCAAGTCAAAGAGCTTTGAACATGGCATATAAAATGACATGAAAATAATTTAATATATTATAATATATAAACTGCATTTTTAGAAGTGGTTTCTAAATGTAACTGCTGAAAAGATAGTAGAATGTGAATGTCTTCTTTTAAAAAGAAAATGAATCACAGCAAGCAATTTTAAAACTATAGCATGTGTTGCATGTTTATAAGATAAGATAAGAATCTTTTACTGATCCAAACAAATAGAATTCAGTTTAATTGCATTTTACATTTTCCAGCACACAAATAAAACAAGTAGAACACAAGACATATACATTACTTTATTTCACTAGTGAAATAAACAGCCATTCAGTAAATTCTCTTATAATAAAAGTTTTAACCAAATAAGATGTTTTGAAATAGATAAATAACATCTCATAATTAGGTTATTTACAAAATTAAGTAGCAATTTTATCATTGGAAATTGTGCTTTTGTATTTTTTTTAAATACTTTTATTTAAATCATCTCAAAAACACATTAAGTTACATGAATTATAAATTACAGTCTTTGAAGTTAGCCTTTGCTTATTTACTTTCTGCTAGATTGATTTTGCAAAGAATAATACCCCCAGTAAAATTTATAAAAAAATGAACATCAATTAGCTTAGAGCAGTTTTGTTCATTAAAGGAACTAATGGTTTTTATTATGAAATTAATGTCGAAAAATTATTTGAATAAACGCAAAAAATGAAGATAAGCTCAAGGGGCAACATGACCCATAGGCAGAGAAAATGTGATGATGTATTCTGGGTAGGCTTGGCTGTCATGAAATATTATATGGATGCCTTCTGTTCTGCTGGCAGGTGCTCTGCCCGAGTCATATGGGATGTCAGACCCAGGCTGTTTGGGTAAATACTTGGTGTTAGAATCAGTTATAACCGAAACACCAACCAGTACACGAGCTTGATACAGCTTACGCAATCCATTGGCATCAGGTGAAGCGTATTGTTCAGAGTATGCAGATGACTGTGCAAAGTACACACCTAGTCCAAATACAGTCGCTGAAAAAAATGAATTAATTTTTTCAAAATTAAAAGACCTTAACGCTTTCACAATTTCTCATACATTCATTTTTTTTATGTTGAGATGAAAGAATAATGCTAATAATAATTTCTGTATTTTAAATTGCAATTCAAATAATATCCATGTTACAAAAATTACCATTTTTTCCACAATAGCTTCTATTAAAACCAGTTTTATTGATGTCATTTACAGCTGTGAAATCTGAACCATGGAATAGGGGTACTTCATTTTTATTGCTTGGATTCCTGAAATCAATTTCCCTCTTTTTGGCTATGAATTGTTGATACAAAGCTCTGTTTTGGACACGTTCAATCTGTAATTTAAAAATAAATGAATATTGGCAAAGATTGCTAGCAATTTGTTATCTCTAACAAATGAATACATTTCAAATTTTGTTATTTAATTTGAATATATTTAATGTATTTTGTAAAATGAAGTAGGTTATAAATAGATATTACTTACACTGTTCAAAAACAAATGATTGATTTCACATTCGTAAATACTTACAATGAAACACACGAAGTTAAGTTATTAACTTAAAATAACAATCTTATCAAAGAACTAAAATTAGCTGTGCCTTTATACAAAAATTATACTTAATGTTTTACAGAACAAGATTAATTTTGTGTTATTTAATTAAATTTTTTTTGTAAACATAGATTGATTTATGCATAAAATCATGTTGTTTTTTTTTTACATTATGAATATTCCCTGCCGCTCCATGAAATCTGTAATATGCAGAAACCTCTTTATATTCATCAGAATCTATTGCCAGACTGACAAGCTTGAATGGTTCATCAAGAGACATGAACTCCCAGTGCTTAGGAATTGGTTCACCAGCTTATAATGGGAAGTATACAAAAAATTGTGATATATAAATCTAACTTTTATATCTTTAATTTTGTGCACAAAAACACAAACATTAGAGACACCTTTAGAATATAATTCAATAATACCATAGCAAAAATGCCTAACACACCATAATATTTCAGCAGCCATGAACAAGGGAGGTTAAAACTAGAAAATAGTGAACATTGCTATAGTAAATTGAGCAATATTAAAAAAAAAAAATTATAGTTTTTGTAAATAATAATTTATTACTTCAATGGGCACGGTGCCAGGATAAAAGTCCCGTTTAGTATGTTTCTTACAGATGCCATTGTTTCATCGCAACAGAATCAAGACCATTTCATGGGAAAACACTTAGTCTAGTATCATGGCCTCAGGCATGCCTTATAACTGCTTTAAAGAGTAATTTAAATTTAAAACTCTGATATGAGCTTTTACCTTCTAATGCATCTCGCCTTTTTATGTTCATTGTGGAATTTGTATCTTTATGGGTGATAGTTTTTCTCTCAAAGTAAACAATATATGTTTCATCATCCATCTCTATCAAGGCATGGAGTTTTTTACCTTTAAAATCAGCCTCTAACTGGATGTTAAGCCTAGAGAAATGTATCAATTTGTTTTATATTAATTTTATGACTTTGAATTATGAAATATATTAAGTAGTTCTATAGAACCTAAAACATGGAAAAATTTGATTTTTGAAAACAAGATTTTCAAAATTTAAGCGTGCTAATTTTATATTCATATATTCTTTTAAAAAAAAATACATTATTTTAAAATGAGAAACATTATATTTTAAACATGTTTAGTACACTTAGGTGTGCTATATTCGTGTACAATGGGAGTATGCGTAATTTTTCTTATAATAAAAAAATACTTATTACAAAATGCATTATAAATATTGAAATACATACATTTTTTTTTTCAGAACTAGATGTTTACAAGTCCAAGTTGGCTTATAAGATTTTTTTTAAAACGTGAATATTTTAACAGACAGCAAAATATGCACTAACATTTTCTAGTTTGTCATACATTAAGAATTATAAACACTTCTATTCGATCATGAAATCCTAATCAAAAAATATAATTTAAATTAATGTCACTTACACATTACTGAAGTCAATAAATATGTCATTCATCTCATACATCCAATGAACAAGAGTGTCTGTGCCAAGGTTCTCAAGCCTCTGCTTTTGAATCTCCTTCTCAATGTCATTAATTAAGGTCTGTATTTTGTTCATGTTGCCAAACCCTGCCATGCTAATCATACCTTCATCCCTATTGAATGTTACTTTAATCATGTTTTTGTAGCCTTTCCTTTCAATTTTTTTGAACTGGTTGAATAGACGATAAAATAGTTTTAATCATTGCACAAATGAATATACACAAGAGAAAATTTCATTAAATAAAAATAAACAATTGTTATAAAATTATATCTTTTTAAGCTAAAAATCTGAAATTACAATTTTTAGCTGATGTAAGTAATTAGCTAACTGGGCTGAAATTTTTTAAACATCACCTTAAAAATTCATAATCTTAATTATCATAATTGATTTGTTCATTAGCCATTTGGACATGTGAAACAAGAAAAAAAAAGTAAATGTTTCAACTACATATATTTCTCAATCAATAAATATGAAAAACTTGACATATGAAAATGTTCAACAGCAAAATATTGATAGGGTGTTTCTTTTTTTTTTTTTATATCGGCTAATAAAACACTGAAATTAAAAGTTGGAAGATGTACATTGCTAATTATCCAATAGGCTGGCTAATATCAAAATTAAATAGAATACTAAGGGTTATGAAATAAAAATGTAAAAAAATGGTTAATAAACCTTAATGACATGTGCAATTATCACAGACTAAGATATTTAATTGCTTTAAATATTAAAGTGTCTGATCATTAAAATATGTTAGCCTTCGTCTGGAGAAGATCACATAGACTAGTGCATTTTTATTTGTAACTTTTCAATACTTGTTTATTAAGAGACAAAGTAAAATTCACTTATACAAGTATATATTATTCAAAACTCCATGATATAAATTATGTGAAAGGTTTTTGGTGTGATTTAGGTTAAAACAATTTTTTTTTTTAAATGTATATGCCTTCAGAAGAAATTGTTTTATTTCTCTTTCAGTTACAACATCATTAAAATGATTTCTTCTTAGAATCTAAGGTTAATTGATGTTTAAATTGAATTGTTGCATTAATCTATATTTTGTTTAATCTAAAAAATCATGATATCTTTTCATGATATTATAATGAATCAGTTTTGCTAAAATTTTACCATCAGAATTATTGATTTCCACAAAATTAGCTTTTTTTTAAAAAAAAAAAAAGTTTAATATTAAAATAAGAATACACTTACATGAGCATCCGTAAATTGTTTGATAGAGCTACTTTTGCAAGAGAAATCCTTATGTTTTGAACTGCAAAGCCTCATAAATTCTTCCATGGCACATTTAAATCTACTTTCTTCAGTGAAATAAAAAACTACATGAGCATTCTCTGACAGCTCTTTGTCTTCTCCTGAAAAACATGAGAAGGAATTAATTATCTGAATATCAATTTTTTTCTGTTATTTATTCACTACATTCAAACTCAATGACATTGAAGCAGAGCAGCACAAAAAAAAAAATATATATATAAACATGTCTGTTGATTTAAAATAAAATACACATAAATAGAGAAGAAAAAAAATTATACTAAATAATTAAACTAATCTTATCTGAAATTATATTTAAATTTCTCTGCCATACCTGTCAAGATAACCGATCCTGAATAAAATGACCCTGTTCAAAAAATTGAAATGTGAAACATATATTTTTAGCCATTTGAATTTTTCTTCTTGAAATACAAGTGGTATGCTTATAAAAAAGGGGTTTTAGTGGCTAGGATAATAGGATAAGTTAACAGGACTTTTTATCATTGAACATGTTTTAAAATTTTTATGTTTACTTCGATAATGTTTACTCAAGGCACTAGTTGAAATAAAATTCCTGATTCCTATTGATTGGAATCTTACTTTTGTCTTTAAAGCAGCCTAAATTATTTAATATTGACAAAAATTGATTTTTTTTTTTTAAATTGTTCAGTTTAAATAATTTAACCACACAATTATCTTCATAAAAAATGAAATATTATGTTTCATAAATATTTCAGTCATGCTTTTTTAAATGATGTGGAGAAGGAAAAATAACTGTGGTTGGAGGCCATCCAAGAAGAATGATTTCTCTAATTGTTTTAAATACTAGTGTAAAGAACATATTTCCATTCATCATATAAATTACTTTTAACACATACATTAATCCATCTGTCAACTTCTTACTAAACATTTTAATGTCCAGAAAAACATTTCTAATTTCCAATTAAAACAATAATTTAGTTTAAACAAAATTTAAAAGTACTTGCATCGATTTAAATAAAATTAAAGCCAATTGAATTCTATTTTTTTTAATTTATTTGCAGCATTGTAGTGAAACATCTAGTAAAATCTAATAGCTAAGCCTTCATTTTTTTAAATCACAGGCCAGTCACCTTGCTTGACTATATTTTGAATTCAGAAAAAAGATTGTTTATTGTTTTTGTTTTCTTATTTAATAAATATTTTAAGGTTGCTTAGTAAATTTAATCATTTAACACTCCCAATTATAATTAATATAATTTGAGTTACATGCTTAAAAAATAAAATCTTTATAGATGATCAATAAAATACTTTTAGCAATTGTTAATGCAACTTTTAGTATTTAATCTCTGAGGTTCCAATGAATGTAAGGTAAACCCCAAACAACAAAATGATCCATTTGACAACCCTACTCCTGTAAAAATGACATTCAGTGAGTTATCAGAAGTAATAATGAAATAAGCCCAGACTGTAAATGTATTCAGTCTAAAATGTATTCAAAATAATTGCGATCAGCAAATTAGATCCCTAAAGAAAGGATGAAGTCTTAAAAAAGTGTACGCATATGGATCTTGTAATACTATTTTGTATACAGGAAATTCACTTTAAAGAGAAAATCTTCAAAATAACACAGAACTTCATAGCTAAAAACTCATATGGATCGGATACGACAAAAACATATGTTTAAATGAAGCAAAGAAAGGCAAAAAGAACTTTTGAATGTGACTGTTGCAGCCTAGGGTAACTACTGTTGCGGCCTTCTTACGTTGTCTAGTCTCACCAATGTTACTGCCTTCCTAAGAATTCGCATGTTAGATCTTCATCCTTACACTTCAACAAATACCACAGTCGTTACATTTACTGAACGGTCAGTAAACTCCATTTGATCTATAGGTTACGACACTACCCTAGGACAGTGCCGTCTTAAGGCATGGGCATGGGCCCTGTGGGTACTGGCCCAGGGCCCCGCGCTTGTAGGGAGCCCTATGTTTCTAGGAGACTCGCTCTTATAGAGGCATCCTGCTTGACATATTTTAATGAATATTAAAGATTCTGACAATTCAATTGGATTCAAAATTCTCAATTTTAACCCACGATATATATCAGGACATGCCAAAATGAATATTATAAATGCGAATCAAAGTTGGAAATATTTAAAACTTTTAAAGGGGAATAACTCTCGTCAACAAGTTTTACTTTTCCCCAGCTATCAATCGAAAAAAAAAAGGTATGAATGTATGTATGGGCAATCCTCCGAAGTCCGGTCCCAAATTATTTTCAGTGATTACTCCTTACTTATAAGTCTTGGGTATCATTCTGTTTTGAAATTCATGTTTGCGTTAGTGGACGATGTTGGATGGAGGCTGTCGGCCGTCGAGATGAACAAACACTCGAGCGCATTATCACTACTAATCATGTGTTACCGGGGACAACTATCGTCATGGACGCTTGGCGAAGATATCAAAATGTCGGTCAGCTCAACAACGGATTTATGCTCACGCTGTCATTGTGCAGGCGCGTGAATTTGTTGATCCAGTACACTAGGACATTCACACATAAATTATTGAAGGACTTTGGATGC